GCTCTTTCTTCAGCATGGCTTCCTTTGGGAATTCTGTTCATAATTTCTTGCCATTTGCAACAGCATCCCAGGAAATGAGCTGCAATGTAACACATCTGGGGCTAAGTTTGAAGGGGAAGCCAGATGCAGACGGGTGTACTGGAGCGGAGGGGAAGGAAATAGGGAAAGTTCAGACATAACTGGACATCCAGCAAGGCCTTGTAAAGCCAACTGGCAGCCCTGTATTCCAAGGGGCTGTCTGAAAGCAGAGATTTGTCTGAATCAGAAACCTCCATCCAAACAGACATGAACTTTGAGAAGGGTCAGGTCCAGAATAGCTCCAGCTGGACTCCAGGCCTTGATAAGGGAGTTCCTCCCTGGGGCTTGAGAGCAGCTGAGTCCTCAGGCAGCCCCTGAACTGACCTCTCCATTCCAGGGTCTCCAGGATTTTTTACCCAGTTACTAGGTCATGAGTTTGCAGGAGATCAGCCCACTTTGGGATTGTTTGTTTCACTGTCCAGGGACTTTTTTCTTTCTTCAGGGAGCTCTGTGAAGCAGTTTTTCAGGGGGGGGGAGGAGGTTCAGTGTGACTCAATGGTGTTTGAGAAACAGAGGAAACAAATGAGGAGATCCTAGAGGTACTTCCTTTCTAAATAGCTCAGAGATTAGTAATGCTTTGCCATACCTGTAAATAGTTCACTCACAGACATGAATGCCAATGAGTGCTCTGAAAGCTGCACGTCACTGCCCCTCATTTTCAAAGTGCGTTTGTGATTTTTCAGCAACCACCTACTAAGCTGAGAGAAAATAGAAAGATCCCTGACCTTTCACTGCTCCGATTTCCTAATAATTTGGACACCTTTAATCCTTGCCTCAGTCTGCAGGGCACAGTTGTGTAACACAGCCACAGTCCAGGAAGGGCCTGGCACAAGAGAAATGCTGGACCCCAATGTCCAAAAAAAGCAGGAGAGGAGCAAAGAGGAAAGCATGTCTGGAGGCTCACAACAGCATTAGCCATTTTTCTGTGGCATTTGGAGAATCAGTCAGTGCGTGGAAGGCTTTTGCTTGTCACCAAAATGTCCGTGCAGAGTGGTCAGACAAGTCGGGCAGTGAACGCACGTACATTAATATTTGCTGTCACTGAGGTTGCAAAATAGAGCAGACAGATCATTTCAGGACTTGGCCTCCTTATCTCCACCTACCACAGCCTATAAAGTTGCATAAGAAAACAGGACTGAATAAGAAAAATTTTGAGGTGGAAACCTCAAGAGAAATGAAGCAGATGCAGCAACACCAAATGGCAAAGCTTTCCCAGAATGGGATTTTATGGTAATGGCAAAGTAATTCTGAGCTTGTCTCAAACCTTCACTTCAGGTCCTACCCATCTTAGGCCAAAAGAAGTTAAAATTAAGGAGGCTTCTTTTGTGGTTTGTCAGACACTCTGTGATTATGGACACTCAAAATGCTTTTTACTGAAAGACTCAAGGATGTGCACCCTACTGGAAAACTTCCTTGTTTAATGCATATAATTCCAGTATGCAAAAAACTTAATGACTGAGAAAAAGAGGAAGATGTTCCCATTGTGGTTTAGTGGTGACAAAAGGGTTAATCATCTCCCAACACTCCCGACAGGACACACTAAATGCCATTGAGCCCCAGCCTTCCCCTGGGCTGCAAGAGCAGCACAGAGGGGACAACCCCTTCAGAAACAGGGTCCCCACAAACATCCAGATGCAACAGAAGAGACAAAGTGGATTCAAAGTGCTTTTCAGCTGTTGTAAACCCTGACTTTATTTAAGAAAAGTGAAGACTCTTTTGTTTGGAAGCCATGAGCATCTGCTTAGTGACTTCCCAGTGCATGGGAGAAGCAGCTCACTGGTGTCTTGCCAGGTAAGCAGCAAACAACATTAGGTCATTGAAAACAGTTCTCCTTGGGCTCCATCTGTCAGATAAGGACAGTGTCACTGGCAGGATGTTTGTGCTGACGAACTCTCCTTCAGTTAAGAAAAGCCAAATGTGAAGCTCGTTAAGGAGAGAACCTGAGATGCCCTCTCTAGACCAGCAGCAGCTGATTTGCTGCCACGGGTTAGTTAATCTCTCATTAGCTCAGGACAAAATGAGCTGCTTGAAGAAGAAATGTCTCTGTCATGACATGTCAAACCTGTGGAGCCAACTGAATCCCAAGTGCTGAAGCTGTTAGGGGCCACGGGGGTGATTCTGGCTCCAAATTACCCACGGTTGATTATGTGTGACTGACTCGTGCAGTTGGGGCGTGATCAGCAGCCTTCTTTGGGCTCAGCCTGCAGGAGACAAACATATGTTCCAGCCTCACCTTCCCCAGCTTTGTAGCAGGCCCTACTTAGTGGCCATTCAAATATGGTGCTGTCAAGGAAGAAGTGAAGCACCTAATAGTGGTGTAGATTGAGATGAGATTAAAAGAAAACCTGTGGTTCAGAGGAATGACGCCATGGAAAACATCAAGGAAAATGAGATGGAATGTGCAGTCATTAGCAAATTGCTTTATTTATGGCTATTGGACACTGCTGTTGTGCCAAATCTTGAATTTATTGGGTGCCGTGAATTTCTTAATTAAAGTTGTATTACTGAATTGTTATTTGTTGAAGTTTGCAATGACCATCCCCTTAGCTATTTTTACTTTTGCTCTGTTGTATATGTGTATGATCCTGTAAAAACAGGCCAGTCTGTGGGGAGACAGAATGTTTTTAGTTGTGCTTTTTAAATGGCACAGCTGATTTTCTCTGAGTTGACTTGCTTCTCTCCTCCATTTTGCTTTTGTGCTTCACCTCACAGGCTGCACTGCGGTGGCTCCAAACCCTTTCCCTCCCAGTTATTAATGTTAAGCTGACAAGCTTTAAGTAAGGATTTTCAGGTGTCTTTTCAAAGCTTGTGTTGGCTGCTAGGTGTTCCCAGGAGGCTGCAGATCCTGGAATCTTCCACCCTGGCAATGTGCCCAGCCCATCGCAACTGCGACCTTACCAAGATCTCAGCACTGGGATTTTGCAGCTGTTCAGAGGTCTCCAGACACTACAGCAAATGATTTCTGTTCTCTGAGTCAGCCAGTTCCTGCTCTAGATGACACAGATCCCAAGCCTTTCAGGTTTTCCCACCTTCAGAGTTGGTCTCCTTGAGACGGAGATGGAGCAACAAGTGGAGGTTGGCAACGGTGTCATTTGTCTTTAGTTTGCTTATGCCAGGGTTTTGGGCAGATGGTCTTCAAGGAATGGACATGGAGATGCTAGGATGTGGGAGAGCTGAGGTATCCAGAGCTGATGACTGGATCAACAACTGGGTCTGCACATATGATGTACTATACAGAAATCACAACAGCCCTCTTCCCTTGCAGTAATTAAATACATTATGCGATACTGTGTGGATCCAAGCTCCATTCAAGTAGTTTTGTGACTCACAGGCTGCTGGATCACTGTGACAGCTGGGCAAAGCTGACAGTGGCTGCAGAAGGACAGAAGCAGCCCAACTCTGAGCCCTGCTCCCTCAAACCCTGCTCTCCTCTGATGCACACTCATGTGCTGGAACATCCCAGAGAGTCCCTAGAGCTCAGACTCTGGCTTGTCCCATCGTATCAAGTCATCCAGGGTAAAAGGTCTTCTCTCTCTTCTAACCAGACATGCTCATAATAAAAGCATGGATCCTCAGGAAAGCAATGTAAACATGGCTTTTCAATGACATGCCCATCATCAGTCTTTACAGGCAGATTTTTCAGTTTAGAAGCTCACAGGTACATCATGTACCCTACACTCTGTGCTGCTGTTTTGCATAACACTTCCCAGACTGTTTGAACTTAGCCCTGGACTCTTTCAGGTCTCTTTCAGGTCTCTTTTGTCCCAGGGACAAATCTCTCTTGAGAACTGCAATATCAGCCTCATGTGTTGCTCAGTTTTAGGCAAGCAACTGGAGGCTGGTTGTACTCCGGTTTATTAGTAGGTTTCACATCTTGCATGAAGTAAGACTAAAAAGTTTGCATTCACTTTCATGATTTCCTTTTTTTTACTTTTCTTTTTTCTTTTTTTTCCCCTGTGATTTGGAGCACTTGGGGAGTAACCTGGCTGGCAAAGCAAGTTGAAACAGACAACACCTGGGCTATTCAGGGCAGGGGGAGTGCTGCAAAACCATTTCAGCGTGTGTGATATTGCTCTGTCAGCTGACGTCCTGAACCCATCAGTTCGTAGATCTTTCTTTTGCTCCAGGACCTCATGAGATGAAAAGCTCCCCTGCAATGGCTTCTCCTGCATGGATTAGTGACTCCATGGGAGCAGCAGCCTGTGTGGAGGCACTGAGCGTGCACTCACCTGCCTTCAGCGTGTGACATGTTGCAGCTGCTGATGTCCAGGGTGGATAATGCTGGAAGGCCTTCCATCTGTCTTACTCCAAGCAAAGGACGCTTACCATGCTCCCCATGGTAGTGGAATCTAAATAATCCCTCTAATCAGAATACTGGCTTCTCTCCCAACACACACACACCTGGAGGGTTGGGTGCAGAGGTTTCGGGGGAAGATAAGAAGCTCCTCTGTCAATCAGAAACACTGTGAACAGCATTCATTCTGCCGTTGTGGGGCTGTTATGTGTTTCACGACCCTTCCTGTGATTCTTCCCCAGACCTTTCTGTGGATGGAAGGCACCTGGCAGCTGGCTCTCGAGACTGCCATCCACAGACCAGCCGGAGCACATGCACATACCTGCCTTCGGCCGGACCAACATCAGACGAGTCATCTGGTGCCAAAGAAGGTTTCTTCAGGATCAGAATAACTAAAACTTCCTTAACATATGCAGGAGTCCTTCCAGATTGCAAAATGAAAATCACTGCCCGGAATCACTGCATTCAAAGTAGGGAAATATCCCTTTAAAGAAACCCATTGGCAACATAACTAAAGGCCTTTAGGCCAAGCTGATATTCAATATAACTCCACTGAGTCAAGAGAAATACACCAGGGATTAAGTTTGGCCTGATAGCAAAAACCACAGGCAAGTGAGACTGATTCCCAGAATCAAGTTGACTTGGAAAATGTAGTTAGATTTTGCCCTTAAAGAAATAATTTTCTTAATAATAACAGATAAAATGAAATGCTTGTCAAAATTATTATGAGCATATGGGGATGAGATGATCAACATTGCATGAATTATTTCCTTCCACAGCTGTATTTCTGGTTCACTTTTTAGCTGTTCTTTAATTCCCAAGCTTGTAACCTTTCTACTGGTCTTCTAGATTTACTACCTACCCTGTTCCTTCTTGACTTGCTAGACCCACAGACTACGTGGTTTTAGTGCTAATCCTAGGTTTGCCACTGACTTTCTGTGGGAATTCTGAGACTTTTTTTGCCCAGTGTCCTCCAATTCCATCTCTAATGGTACATCAATACATGAACTAATTGCCAGGCAATGTTAAGGGTAAAATACCTGGTTTCATCTTCCTGGATTGGGCCCTTGGGCTTCAGCTTAATGCCTTGCAAACACTACCAAGCAAGGATGGCAGTTAGCATGAGGAAAAAACTTTCTCAAAAGCAGTGCCTGCATATGGGTCTTGCTTCCTGAGAGAGGAGAATTAATACCACAGAATTAATCTCTTTCAAAGCTCTGTCCAAAACTCATTTGTTGTGTTTAACTTGTTCTCAACACTCGTAAACAAAGAGTGGAAAACCCAACTGTAGTTGTTCACAAAAAAAACCAAACAAAACCAAAAGAGGAGCAACTTGCCAGGGTGCTAAAAAGATCACTACCAACAAACCACCATAAAATAATAAATTTAGTTCACTTAGAGTATTGAAAATCCAAGAAAGGAGAAAGGATAGAGGGTTTTTTGGAATGTTTATCAGTTTGGAAAAAGTTACCAAGAACTCCCAGGGTTTTTCATTTGCTTTCTCACCCTCTCATACCTTCCAAGAGGCAACAGGTCTTTTAAATTATATTTTTCTTCCTCAGCTTTGTAGTTCTCAGTCCTGAAATTCATGGCTGCAAGGGAGGGCTGGAGACTCCCTCCTGAGCTTCTGCACTTCAGGATCCCTGACTATCACTCCCTCACCTCTGTGTTTAACTCATGCTTGGCAAAGCACAACTTGATCTCAATCAGACCTCCTAGGAGGGCAGACAGGTTGGATTTGATGGCATCAAGAAATGCGGATCAAATCCTGCCCCTGGAGTTCATCCCAAGTGTGTCTTCGCTGATACAATACATGATACTTTCTTACTTGAAATTACCAGGCTGTAGTGTTCCTGTCATGGGCCTTACCTGCAGTTAAAGACTGTTTTCCTACCACCATTTTGTCCAGAAGGTGCTTACACAGTGTAATGACACCATCTCTCACTTAATTTCTGCAGGAATTTATCATGGTAAATTCTTCAAGTCTCTCGACTTTTTTTCTTAAAATGCAAAGAACAACAAAGGGCAAACTATTTTTCTGGTTAAGACCACCTGCGGAACCAGAACTGGTCCATACTTCAGTCTGCATCTCCTCTTCACCCATCCGGAGCTCCTATGAGGCCCTTTACCTGCAATATCACTCTTCAATGTCACGCTCAGGTTGGGCTGCATGTCCACTTTGCCTTCAGCACCCTTTCCTCACTTCCTCTGCTTTCCAGGGTAGATGTTCTTCCTCTACATGGTCAGCTGCAGCCCTGTCTTCTTGGCACAGGGTTCTGACTGCCTGGACACATGTGCTCTGCCTGCATGAGCCCAGAACCCATATCTCTCCACACTACTGCCCCCATCTCTTCATCAGCCACCTTTCCACCTGCCTGGTGTCATCTGCAGGTTTTGACAGCAGTTGCTGTGCATCACCTTTCATGTACTGGATATAACATTGTCCTGTCAGTCCCTGAGGGTCTCCTCTGGGGATGTATCCTGAGTGATTCCTGAAGGACTGCTCATTTGGAAGAACTTTGATCTCACTGCTCTCTAAGCCACCTAGAGCTTGTGCTATTGGCATCATGCTATAGATATTGTTAAGAGAATCCGCTAAGTCAACCACCTCACCACAACCTAATCCATCCAAAGTTTCTTGTCCCAACAAAAGTTTTAACCTCTTCAGAGAATGTAATTGGATTTGTCTGAAGGGCCTGGTTTTCATTTAAAAAAGGCTGAATAATAGTTGCAGCTTTTAGCTCCGCTCAGTTCAGCTCCCCAACAGCTTTTCCATCATGTTGTCCACAACTGGTTTCATCCTATTGTGTGGTGCAGTTTTGCTTTAAACCTTGTCACACTCTTGTGATTTTGAAGATGCTGTGCCATGCTGGGAGATGCATAGGATGGGGTGCCCAGTGCCTTCGGGAGACAGGAGTCTCAGGATAGAGTCTCTGCTCTCCCATCATCCACCTCTCCAAGTGGGCCAGGTACTAGTCTGAAACTGGTGTAAGTGCTCTAGTGTGATGCAGCTACAGTTTACATGCAGAAATGAGGGAGTCAGTGCTAGGAATAGCATGGGAATTTTTCATTTTCCTTTTTTCAACCACTTTTACCCCTCATTAAGTGCTTTCAGACCCAGCCTCGGGCTTGATTTATTTTTGAAAGGCCATTTTTAGCCACTGTGTCTTACAGAAGAAAAGAAAAAAAGGGTCTGCTGAGATTATTCTTAAAGAAGAAACCATGCACATGCACGTTCTGTCACAGTTTCTTCACTTCTCAATATCCCACGAGATCCTCACCACCACGATACGGGAGTATCGCTTCGCTCCTCTCACCTGCAGTTCTATAACAGTGTTGGGATGGTGGCTCTTCTGCTTTCTAGGCTGGAAAGATTATTGCTCTATTACAAAGAAAAATAATCTCACAAAAATACCAGATTCAGGAATATCCCACTTCAGAGTAACCCACTTGAACCTCCAAGTTGTCGCACAGTTTGGTAAAGTAACTTTTTGTGTTCAGCAATGGTTGTAATGGAGGCTGGAGAAACATGTCTTAAGCAGATATCTCTCAGTGTTCAAACAGACAGGTTTTCTTCTTGGCTCTAATTTGATTCTTGCTGCTCTTAATTTTCCTTTTCAGCTGCTCTGATAATGTGAGACTTTGAACTAGCAGCCTCTCCTCTTGAATCTGTAAGCATTTACTGAGCAGTGTTTAGTTAAGGGACCAGACAGAGATGTAGACCAAAGAGGACGGGATATGGAGGGTTTGTGGTTACAGCACAAGGCTCTGAATCAGGAAATGATCAGAATCAACTTCAAGAGATGGATCCAACCCACAAAGCTCAGTTCTGCATCTGGTCCTGCACTGAGCTCCAACTGCCCCGGAGTTCAGGCTGATTTGGTCTGTGGCTGTTGTGTGGAGATCAGCTCTGCTTTCCTTGGACTTCCACAAAGCAAGTGCTCATTAACAGCATTACCGAGTGTGCCAGAATGCGAAGAAGGTTCAGTGCAGGGTTAACTAACCACGTAGCTCCCTAACAGTGAAGGAGTTTGGACCCCATGGACATCACCTGGCTTGCAGGTGTTGTGAGAACTTTCTCAGCTTGTCCTGAGATGTGCTGTGCACACAGGGCCTTAGCTTTTCCCTGAGCTGGAGGGCAGCAGCCACAAAGCTGATGGCATCCCTCTTCTTTGAGCTATCCATCTGCATCAAGCCAGAATTATCCATGAGAAGCAATAAGAAATTCCCTCCATGCTGAACGGCACCACAAAAGACATACAGGATCTGATTCCCAGATGGCAATGTTAAAAACAGAAGGCAACATGTCTGGGAAAGTACCCGAGGCATACCTGAACAATAGAAATAATAGAGATGTAAGAAGAAGATAGGTCCTTTCTTTTTTCTGATATATGCATGCCTATGATCACTTAAAAAAACAAACAAACACCTTTTTTTCTTTTTTTTTTTTCTGTCAACCGGAAACAGTCTGTCTGAATAAAAACAGTACTAGAGTAAAGTAGCTGAAATAGGTGAACAATTGGTAGCATGAGCATTGTACCAGGCTTGTCTGCTTCTTGTGTCTGTGTTATGTGTCCTGTGAGCACCTAAATCCTTGGAATCTCTCGAGATTTATTTGGATACCAGCAAACTGAGTGCATATTTACCTTTCCAGCAACTTGGAGGATTATTGATTTGTAGGGGCCAGGGTCCCCTCGCTAGTCCACCTGCACCCTCAGGAACATGAGGGTTGGCATGTGTTTCTATGCATAGTTTTTATTTTAGGCCCTCCTAGGACAAGTTCTAAAAGGTTAAAAGTGGGGAAGATGCGGCTGCCTTGTCTCACACATTCCAGGAGCTAAACACCCTGCAGAAACCAAAGGCAGCAAATGTTTTCTGAGATACTCGTCCAACCACCAGTGAGATGGTGATACCACCCCATGAGCAGCAGGCAGCTTCATGCAGGCATACCACTTCTGTCTCTCTGGTCTCGCCCCGCCTGCATTTGTTCCTCCTTTGCCTGATGGCACATCTCCCCCACACAATGGCATGTACAATCTAATCTCTACTGAAAGCTCTGCAGGGCAGGAACTCACACATTCAGATCCAAATAGGCTACTCATGCCTTTTTAATTTCACTGGATCAGAATAACAACGGCAAGAAAATAAAGTAACAGCCAAAGAGTCAAATCAGTGCAGTGAAATGGGTCCCTTCCCTGTTTTACAAGTTACATCCACAGTACTGCAATGGTACCAGGAAGTCTTCTTAGTTACACTGGCAAATCTTCAATTAAGCAGCCCAAAAAGCTCTTAGCCACCATGAAGTGCCTGCTGATGTTCACTGTGGTGATGTCCACTATGGTGATGTTTGCTACTCCAAAAGCCACGTGGAGTAGACATTCCCTGGACTCAGAGGTGGCTGAAGAGCCCCTCGGCACCAGCTCAGGGTCTGGGAAAAGCAAGCCTTGGGTTGGTGCACTCCCATACTCATCTGCCCCCTGTCTGGCATGGTGCTGATCTCCGCAGCCATCAATCCTGCTGCCATCTGGATGACAGGTCTTGCACAAGCCCAGTGACATTACTTAAGGCTGTGGCTGTTTACAACTTCCCGCCCAGCGCACACCCGCCATGTGTTAATCAGGATGGTTCATAGTCAGTCCT